CTTTGTTAAATGGGTAAAATATTCCCATATAAAGCAGTCAAACGCAAACCAGAAATGACAGGGCCTAGAACATTTTGTGTCTTGAAGAATAAAGGTGACAAACATCTATAAATCTAAGCAGATGAACCCGAGCAGGGCGGCCATTGGTAGAGTGCTCGCTAGCCTGCACAAGGTGCTGGGCTCAGTCTTCAACACTCTAACAAATAAAAACTTCAAAGTGCCTTTGTCTAGCAGAATTAAGCCATATTTTCATGTCTAAACACTAGAGTTGAATGCGGAAAATTGCAAACCACCATGACAGGTTATTTCATCCAGATGTCGATACGACAGTACATATGAGACATGCAATTCATGAGGTTTCCCTTTAGAGTTCATCACTGAAGACTTGAAATTACAGCATCTATGCCTCATCTCTCATGTGCATTCGTGTAAAATAACAGTAGAAGCGTGGATACATTTGATCTTAAATGTCAATGATACAAAATGAAGTATATCTTCAGGAAGAATGAAAAGAGAAAAATGTGAGCTAACAGCTTCTTGAGCTATATGCATTGTGGGTTATTGGCTGGCCCCTGGCTCTACCTGAGCGTGCTTACTCAATCTTAGGGTAAGAATATTGTGTGTGTGTGTGTGTGTGTGTGTGTGTGTGTGTGTGTGTGTGTTTAGGCCACAGGCTAATCTCTGGTATCATTCTTTAAGTGCCATGCACTTTTGCTTGGATGGTCTCCCAGTGATTTGGAACCCTTCCAAATGGAATAGGCTGGCTCACCAACAAGCCCCAGCGATCTGTCTGTCTTTCCCTTCTCAGCTGAGTTTACAAATGCACACGACCTTGTTTTTGACTGGTGTGAGTTCTGGGGGCCTAATTCAGGTCCTTGTGCTTACAAAGCAAGCACTTTGCCATCAGAGCAATCCTCTCAGTGCCTAAATCCAGAGAATCTCTGCACAAACATCACTAAAGATGGTGCACTTCGCTTTGATGCTGTATTGAAGTTTGGATTTCAAATGGGAAGTTGCCATTATTATGCTGTGGATTTTAAGTTCATACGCTTGGCTCATTGGATCCTGATTCTAACTTTATAACCAAGTGCTATTCCTATGCTTGTCACTGAGTACTTTTTAGTGGGTGGTAGATTCAGGCGGCATCCATGTAGCCTTGAAGTGTCTCCACCTGTCTTCTTCCACCTAGAGACAGACTGTCTCTGCCCTCATTCCTGACTCATTTATCCAGTATAAGCTTGGTATGTTTCAAGCCATGTTTACCATGGCATAAGAACGACTGGTCTACACAATGGAATTAATCGGCCATTCCTACACCTCTTCTTCACTTCAGAAACCCCTTTCTGCTTTCTCAGTTCTCTTTTTACACAGCTGTGGAGGAAAAACATTAAGAAGCACTTTACATTTTATATAATATGCATAACAAAACAGAAAGGAATAATTATATCTACTTTGTCTTTTTCTTGCTCTTGGTGGATGTTAATGCCGTAAGCATGCTAGTCTGTGTGGCAAGACTGCTGAATGTAAGTTAGTAACAGTGTTTGGTTTTTATTGACCCCTGTGTTTTACTGTTGGATTTAAATTATAATTAAATATTGACTCTTGATGTTATTTCATTTCATTACAAACAATTAAGAATGTTTAATTATTTTGAATATTGCTTATGGCTTAAGCAGAGGATGAATTGCTGCAACAACTAAAGCTAAGTTGTGGTTTGGGGATAAGAAGCTTCTAAGGAGGCATTTAATAACTCAATCTGAAAAAATATTGTAGATTTTATATGTCTTAAACAGTAACACTCCATGTGTACATGATATTTCCTCATTGGTCATGTAGACCTAGTCTTGTAAGCTAGTAAGAAAAAAATGAAACAAAAGGCCAGAGTAAAGAAGACAGGAAGGAAAGGATGCATTTTGAATGACAGCATTATGTAATGGACCATAATGTTGTAACATTATCTTGTCATGCCCGGGACATAACATTCTCTCCAACTAATCATAGTCATTTCATGAACTGGCCATCTTCACTCAAGCCTATAATTTGTATAGGCAGAGGTCATGCCTTTCTTGATGGTTGTAATCTCCAGCACAATGCTTGGCCTACAAAAATTGTAATTTATCTGTATCTATTGTATCCAATTCATGATGTCATTTTTATAGGTTTGACATTATTTTCTTTAAAGCAACTCACAAAAGTACAGAATGTGTGACTGCACAGAACTGTTTAATGGAATTTGGGTCAAGGATCTGATGTTACTGAAATAAGCTTAAATGTCAAACTTGAATATTTACCAAAGCCAGGTAATATTTTCTGTGCTCATTTCCAGCTTTGATTTCCTATTAAGTGACAAGGTGAAACTGTTTAAAGAATTGGTATCTCTCCAAATGGTTCCATGTCTACCCTGGCATAAAAATGACTTATCTACACAATGAAACCAATCTACTACAGCTGATTGGACCAGAAGTTTTTAAGTCAGGAAGAATGGGAGAGCAACTAGTTTCTTATACCAAAGTATTAGAGAGTGTCCACATGAAGATTAGCCCCTTAACTCCATTATCCAACAAATATCCACAACTCTGACCTTAGTCTTCTCCACAGACAACAAAGGTCAAAAAAAGAGAAGAGCATGAAGTGATAAAAAAAAAATAGACCTTGTTTACATGTTTGGAGTCTATTAATAATGCTTTAAAATAATTTAGAGTAAGTACTTGTTTGTTTCTGTCAACTTGACACACGCAAGAGTTATCTTGGAAGAGTGACCTCTGTTGAAAAAAAATCCCCCTACAGATTGTCTGTAGAGCCAGTCAGCTAACTCAGATGTACCACTCACACTTGCTAGCATGCCTGCCCTACAATAATGGACTGAAAGCCTCTGAAACTATGGAACAAAATAAATCTTTCTTCATTTAAGCTGTGTTTGTGATATGGTCTCAGCAGTAAAAGAAACTAACATAGTTCTTGTTTTCACAGTTATAGAATTCAGTGGGGGTGATGGGGGACTATAGAGAGTAGACAGATGTACTAACAGCAAATGATGTCAGTGAAAACCATGAGAAGGAAATCAAGGTAGGTTCATTAGCAGAGAACAACAGAGACAGATGGTAGAATAGCAAGGTGCAGGATACACATTGAAAGTAAGCGTGAAGAGGACTTTCTGTTGTCTCCAGTACTAGGTTTAAGAGAGAAATGATTCAGTTAGTCACTGGTGATTTGGAAGTGTTTTTGTTCCAAATATTCTGAATGTTTATACATCACCAATCATGTGCACTGCCCTTTCCAGATCTTGGCTATTACCAAACATCCAAGCAAGTGCTTTTAAGATATATATATATCTTAAAAGCACTTATATTTATATATATATAAATTATATATATAAATTATATATATATATAATTATATATTTATATATAATTATCATGTATTACAAATTTATTCAATTTGTATCCTGGCTGTAGTCCCCTGCCTCATCTCCTCCCAATCCCACTCTCCCTCCCTCTTCTCCCCCATGCCCCTCCCCCAGTCCACTGATATGGGAGCTTACCACAGAAGGCCTCTGAAAGACTCTACTGATTGAGGTGTTGAAGCAGAGGCTGAGATTCATAGCCAAACTTTAGGCAAAGTGCAATGACTCTTATGAAAGAAGGGAGAGATATAAAGACTTGGAGGGGACAGGAGCTCCAAAAGGAGACCAACTGAGCCCCCCCAAAAAAACAAAAAAAAAACCCTGAGCCTGGGAACCCTGCAGAGTCTGATACCCCAATCAAGGACAATGCATGGAGAGGACCTAAAACCCCACCTCAGATGTAGCCCAGTCTGATGTAGATGTAGACTCAGTCTTCAAGTGGGGTCCCTAGTATGGGGAACAGGGGCTTTCTCTGGCATGAGCTCAGTCACAGGCTCTCTGATCACCTCCCCCTGGGGGGTACAGCTTTGTCAGGCCACAGAGGAAGACAATGCAGCCAGTCATGATGAGACCTGATAGGTTAGGGTTATATAGAAGGGGAGGAGGACCTCCTGTACCAAGTGAGTGTTTTTAATAGACAATTGGATCAAGTTTGTGACTCAGGTCAGGCAATTGAGCTCATGATATACTTCCAGAAGTCACCAGAATATGGTGTATTTAAAACCACTGGGCTACAGGAAATCATCAAGGGAGTGTGGAGTACATAGAGAATGCTAAAAAGGGGTCCCAGAGCATGTCAACATTGATACCAAGAGGGTGGAAGAAAGACCCAGAAGAAAAGATGGGTAGGAGGCAGGAAGCAACTCCTAAGATTGGAGGAAAATCTAGACTGATAAGACCTGTGAACTTGGGGAAGAAAGCCAAAAAGGGTAAACATTGTCTAAAGCATTGATGACAAATGCTCCTCCAAAATGGAACCTGAGATTGACCATTGGGGTTTATAAGCCAGCATTTAAAACGCTGGCCTTGAAATATGCCAATAGCTTCCCTGAACACTTGAAACTTCCCTCAAGTATTTATTCTTTCTTGGATGACCTTAGTCTTGGCTTTCCCCCTCTGTTTTTTTGTTTGCTTGTTTGTTTGTTTTTCTTTTTGTTTTTTTGGGTTTTTTTTACATTCCCCCTTGTTCCTCTCTTTTTCTCTTAACTTTTAATTGTCATTTTTATGCCACAAAAGAGGTAACTACCCGTAAGACCACACAAGTTCTGTTTTCAAGAATACTCTGTTCAAGGCTGAGTATTTGCTACCAGAATTTCAGTGATACATGGAAGATTAGCATGTCCCTGCACAGGAATGACATGAAAATTTATGACGCACTCAATACTTAAAAAATGGTTAATTAAATAACAAAAGATGTCTGATCTTTGCTTCCTCGTATAACAATACTCAACTATTCATTCCTCGGGCCATTGTGTGACCAATTCTTACGTAAACGTATTGGGAGATAGGCATGGGGATAGCCGTTGTTTTTGTGCAAGAGTTACTTCCAGAAGCATTGCAATTGGAGCAGATGGGGTTGAAGGTATTCTTGTTTTAGGAGAGAAGATGCTGATATTTGGAAAGTGGTATTTGGCATAAACAACCTGGACCATCCGTCAGTCTTCATGCAGACCCGCTTTGTGAAAAACATCGTGCTACATCCCCGGTACAGCCGTGCCGTGGTGGACTACGACATCAGCATAGTGGAGCTGAGCGATGACATCAGCGAGACAAGCTACGTCAGACCTGTCTGCTTACCCAGCCCGGACGAGTTTCTAGAACCAGATACGTACTGCTACATCACCGGCTGGGGCCACATGGGCAACAAAAGTAAGCGAGGGTCATCTGCGATCGCCCACTGAGCTCAGAACTGAAAAGCGCTAGCGTTCTTTCTAGGCTTTGGCTGCGATTTCCCATTTCACTTGTAAAAACACCGCCACACAAGGTCAATGCTGAGGCTGCGTCCAATCGCAAACACAAACAATCAGTCAAGGCACATCAACCTGCCCACCTGAGATGCAAGCTCTAACACGCTTCCCTACACTTCTGACTCTTTCTCCAGGAAGCTACTACCAATGTCTTGGAGGTTCCATGCCAGGTCATACTTGCCGGACACCCTGCTAGAGGGAGCAAGGGTTCTGGCTCTCTCTTGGCGCAATTTCTCAGAGACTGTGTGGAATAATTAGGCAAGTCCATTGCTGCAGTTGGGATACATAATCACGTTTTCAATTCTGCCATTAGTTGGCTCTTATCTACACGTGCAGCACATCCTTCTATAAATAAGTGACATACATATCTAACTATTTAAATGGCTTAAACCAGGCTTTATAAAAAGTGACTTAAACACAAAACACATAGAAAAAAAAATTGCTACTTACGCTCAACCTCTCTAAAAGACATTTGCTTCTAGTTTGACGTATTTAAAGTTTAGGCTAAGAACCGAGTCGACAAAATTGTTGCACCAGCTTCAGGACAGGGCCATGCTTCTCTGAATGGGGCTGCATATTGGCCTCCTAGGATCTGGACAGTAACCATAAGAACTCCAGTCTAAAGGGACTTGTTTTCTTCTTGAAATTTAGTCAGACTGTTTGGGCTATGTTTCTTTTCTGTGTGATTTTTTTTTAAATGATGGGAAGTTAGTGTTTTTAGATATCAGTGACTCCTTCAAGATCGTCCTGTAAGAATTTGGAAGGCAATGCTGCCTGCTAATTCCACCATTCCTATACGTGTTGCTTTGTTTAAAAACCATGATTAGTACCGTAATGAAATGAGTGGACAATATTTCATAGGGTCCCTATTCGTAGTCTTTACAGAACAGCTACATAAACTTGCAGTCACGGGGTAGCAGGGAACACACCCGGCAGTCAGGGAACACCACTAAGAGCGTGCAAATGAATTCACCCTGGAGGCTCACACTGACCTTAGCCATCCCAGCCTCTTGCCTTCCCCACAAAGAATGAGATGATCCTGAACACACAAGATTGCTGCCCAGAGGTAAAGCACTGCGGCCCAGAAGATGCTGGTGGCAGGAGCCTCGGCTACCCCCGTGAGCGGCATGGTGTTGGCTGCTGTGCTCGGCCCTCCTCCTGACGCCTTGTTAAGCTCGCGCTACATCACATTTATTTTTCCCCAAATGACCATCATTATTAGCACTGCTTCCCCATCGCTGCTTCAAAGTACAGTCTGTATGGTTTTGAGGATGTGCGAGATTTATGATGTTTTGCTTGAAGACAGCCGCTATTATTCTTAAGAAACTTTAGGCAAGACAGAGACCGTATCTTCCATCTCTTGTAAGCAATAAATGATAATGCCTTTTTCAGATCTTTCTACGGCAGGTTTTCACTAATCCCAGAGAGGACAGATATGCTAGAGCTAGGAATGCTGCTCAAACCCCCTCTTCATGGTCATAGCTGATGTTTTTCCAGGGCACATGACAAGGGGAAATTACAAACCAGTGGCTCTCAACCTCCCTAATACTGTGACCCTTTAATACAGTTCCTCAGGTTGTGGTGACCCCCAATGACATATTTTGCTACAATTACTTCATAACTGTAATTTTGCTGTTATGAATATTAATGTGACTATCTGATATGAAGGATATCTGATATTCGACTCCCTTAAAAGGTCATCGGTTAACCCTCAAAGGGGTCGCAACCTACAGGTTGAGAATCTCTTATTTAACGTCGGCCTCATTAGGAAAATAAGGAGTATCACTAGATGATTGTTATCAAAATTTCCAAGCAGAAAATTTGGATTCCAAACAAGTCTTCCCCTTGAGATGATATCTAAGGGAAAAGATATGGTTCTGTAGGTGTTATGAAAATATTCCTGTAATATTTATTTTGTATTTTGCTGGCCACACCTTTGAGTCACCTGTATGCTGTTGCGTATTTTTCTTTGGTCTTCTGTTCAAATGCAGTGCCCTTTAAGCTGCAGGAGGGGGAGGTCCGTATTATTCCTCTGGAGCAGTGCCAGGCATACTTTGACATGAAGACCATCACCAGTCGGATGATATGTGCCGGCTATGAGTCCGGCACCGTGGACTCGTGCATGGTAAGCTACCTTTCAACTATGCAAGCCACCAGGATCCTCTGTGATTTTGGTGAGCTTCTGTAGCTGGTCATAAGTCAGGCGCTGTCTTAAGCTTGGGGGGGGGAGCACCAGAGGACATCATCAGGTATAACCATGACATCGGGACATACATTGGTGCCCCACCTCACATAGCGTGTGAAAAGACTTCCTTCTCCAATGAGAACACCCTGGCATTGCTTGATATCTTATGGCCCTCATATGATTAGTGTCCTATCGAATGTCACTGCTTTCAACCTCAGACAGGATTTATGGCCATAGAAATCTGCAAGCCACACCTCTTTGGCAATGAAGAAAAGGGTTTTATGTTTACTTAAACAATCATCAGATATTGTGCTGAACTGTCCCTGGGGTTCAAATGGGCACGTGCAGTAAGAAGCAGCCAGAGAGGCGCAGGGAGCCAGGCTGCTACAGTGCTGTGCCGCTGATTTGCTGATCAGGCTCCTCAGATGTTAGTATTAAACGGAGATAAACCATGCTTGTCATTAGCCCAACAGAATTAAATGCCATTTGTGATGGCTCACTTTAGAACATTGTGTACAACTGATTAATGGAGGGCTGTTCTAATTTCCCATTATGGGTACTTTCTACTTTTATAAGATCAGTTCAACTTAAAAAATAAAATAAAATTGTTGAGATAATCAGTTTTGATGCATAAAGGTGTTTTTTTTAATTTATGACATTTTGTTATATTCATGAAGTAACTAAGAGTCATTTGACCTCGTAACAAGACAGAAAATTCTCTTTGCAAACTACATCAATCCCTTTAAAGCTCAGAATCCATCATGTTTATTGGAAAGGTCTGCTGATAAGAGTGGAAAGCAGATGCCCTCTCCGGCTTACCACGAACACTTTGCTGAAAATTTCCAACTCAGTTAAAGCTGATTTAGGCACTATTGCAACCTGAGGGCAATAGCCCAACACCAGACCTCTGAAATCCCAGGACTAACATCAGTTGCTATTCCTCGCAGGGAGACAGTGGTGGGCCTCTGGTCTGTGAGCGACCCAGAGGACAGTGGACATTATTTGGTTTGACTTCGTGGGGCTCCGTCTGCTTTTCCAAAGTCCTGGGACCTGGAGTTTACAGCAATGTGTCTTACTTCGTTGAATGGATCCAAAGACAAATCTATATCCAGACCTTTCTCCAAAAGGAATTCCAAGGATAATCAGGGGCTTTGCCGGAAACCTCCAGCAAGAATGGCCCTCCTGACCGTGGAGATTGTCCTGCCAAGAGCTGCACAGGCAGGCAGGCTTTTCATGGCCAGGATGCTCAACGTTCACTGCAGGATCTCCTGCTGTTAGATCAGTTTCACTCAGCCTTTGATTTCTTCAACTGTATCATTCATTAATTTCATGAATTCTTTAAAAGCACAGAGCAAAACAGGGTTTGTTTCTGCTAAGCTAACCTTGAACACAGTGTGGAATTATCAACTCCATAGAGACAACATTTGGAGCTCTATGGTAACAAGTTATAGAAAGTTCTTTTTCGTACCATCACACACCAACACACAAACACACACACACACACACACACACACACACACACACACACACACATACACCCTGACAGTTTTCTAGTTTCTGCTCAAGCACAGTGGTGTAGGGGGACACATTTCAGAACTGACCTTGGAGACTGACTTTTAATTTATAAAAAGCCAAAATAACGTGCATGCTTTATGTTATTTACTATACTGTTCTAAATCATTTGAAGAAATTACGAAAGTCAGAAAAGACCCACAATATTGATCTACATATGTGAAGCTGCAAGACATACAGAATGTAAAATTCCTTAGCCAACAAAAACTAACACTCGGAAGTATAATTCTATCCTTCCTGTACTCATAAAGATTGTAATGTCATAAAAATGTCTCCATAGGACTTTCTCTATTCCTAGGGATTTTCAGTATATGTCAGTTAGATGGCTAAGATACCAACAATTAGCTTGACCCTGGTGAAAATATTTGTCTGCCTATGTGACAAATTCTGTCTCATTCTGTAAAACAAGCAAGTTAAAAAGGAGAAAAAAAAATTAAGTTAAATCTGAAAATTACTCTGCCTATGTTCACCCAAGCCAGAAAAGCTACAGAAATATATTTCCAAGTGTAGCAAAATGTTGCACAGGGTACAAGATTTTGCAATTTCCCTCATGACGCCTGACATCTGGTGTTGCCATTTTTCCCCACTGATAATTAAAACTAAATTTAAAAGATGCTTTTAAGTACTAGGCCACTTTATGCAAATCAATTTCCAAAGCCATTAGTGGTTAAAAGTATTTTTTTTCTCATTAAAAACCTTCCAAACACAAACCTTCATACATGCCTAATTTAATTAGCCAGACATCAACTCTGTAACGTCCAACGCCTCTGTGAACAAGCATCACGCTACTAACCTTCGCGAGCAACCTGACTGCCTCGGCATTCCAAACAGGGACTACCTGCAATTTTCTACGTGTATTTTATACTCTTTTTCTATGTGTCCATATAGCTCAAAAGCAAAAAGTTATTTCAACCATTTTTTTTTCCATGTTATCCATCTCTTGTCCTGGACTTTATTACGAAGGGTGTGTAACAAGCCATTGTACTGTGGCCATGACTGTATGAAGGTTTAAGACCATTGGTCAGTTTTGTTATAATTGTTGGCACATGATTAATAAAACATGTTTTTAGCCTTGGTGAACTTATATTCAGCAAAATGTAAATATTGGACTCATTTTAAATAATTCTGAGTACAAATAAAGTGGTATAATCTTTTTTAAAAAATTTTTTTTCTTGAGGGTTATGGATGGAATATACAGACCAAGTTCAGGAAAGTGTCTGTCTCTCTAATAGCATCATGGTACCCAGACTCCTGTCAATTAAGATTTACATACTATATAGCTCCCACTCACAGGAACCTACTCTTTGGGACTAGTAACAGCTTCATCATGAGTCTGATGAGTTACTAGTAGCATTATTCACAGAGTTCCCGGAGAACATCAACCCTGCCAACAGAACAGGAGTAGTGCATTTTTGCAAGTGTTCCTACTCTTTAGAAACCTTTTATAATAAAATCATATCCCAAACTGTTTATTATTTGTTTTCTCGGATTCCTCGAAATTTGGTGAAATATTCCAAATTATGAAAGCACACCGCACCACACTAGTTTTGCTGATTCTGCATAAAGTTGTTATTTTTTTCTTGTAAATCGGACCTTTTAAAAGCTTTACAGAGATCTGAAAGCTTCTCAGCCAAGAGGCCTCGTGTGTTTTAAAATGTTTTAAATTCAAGAAAAATAGTTAATCACCAAGTAATTAAATGTAGCAGTACTTTTTAGCAAGATATACAAATAATTGCATAACTTATATAAATCATTTCAGATTTACCCAATACACTGAGTTTGGATTTAATTTATAAACAAAGCTGTGAGCATTTTGGAGTTGTACATGTAAGATTTTAGCCCCATGACATAAACATTCAGTGCTTTCCTATATTCTTACCTACAGATAATTCACACTTTGGAAATGATCTTCTTTCTCCTTCTTGTCATAGTCCTTTATTCTTTAGACTAAAACCTTTTATGCATATATGAGTATGTCTCTAACACTTATTTGGGAAATGATGACCTCAGGGATGAATTCCAGTTGCTTTGGGGACGATACATAATCTGATATCCAGTGATTTTTTTTTTCTCCATATACAGAAAGGTCCAAACATCATTCTGAAAAAGGCAGGCCTTGGCGTAGTGCTGGCATCCATGACAGCTGGGTTCACAGAGCAATGACAGGAGTGATGACGGTTTTCAGTGAATATTTATTTATTAAATAATTTATTTTAAAAAAAACATCTCAGGGAAGTAGAAGGCAGCTTCCTTGAGGCACATGGTATTTTGACAGTTCCAGGAATCAGTCTATATGAGAAGACCATTTAACAATGATACCGGGAAGGTACAGAAAGTGACTAGGAGGGTACACAGCAGGTAACAGGCCCTGAGAGCAACAGTTTATAAGACTGATGTAGACACCGACCTTTAGCACAGAGATTCACAAAGGGCACTCTAGATGACTGGTGGGACCACTGTCAGATGAACGTGGACGTTTTGAAAGACAGGAGAACGTGACTTCACAGTAGCAAATGGACTCACCTGGTATAAAACAGCTCCTAGGCACTAAGCAAATCCATGATTTGTCACGGCAGAAAACTTGCTACAGACATTTGTACCTTTAAACGTGTCACTCTTTCGAAGAGCCTCAGGGATCCCCACTGAGAATAGCCCGTTATCAGTCCCAACCCGTATCTCACTCTGTAGAGGGTACAACACAGACGGATTTTGCAGTGCCGCAACTACGGACTCTCACGTGGTCCCCGGCAGACTGCATTGAAGGTGATTGTCTCATGTCGATGGGGGCGTCCTCGGTTTCAGAACTCGGAAGTTGCCCACAGTCTGTAGGCTCCGCTGATTGTGTTGCATGACCTACGTGCATGTTTCCTGGTTGACCACCTCTGCACGGCGGGAGCACATGCATCTACTGATAACAGTAAACAGAGCAGAAGGCAGCCTGGCTGCTGCTGAACCCAACAGTCCCCCACTTCCTCCTTCCCTATAAAGGAAGCACAGCGCTGAAATGACAGCGAGGGTTGCTAAACACCCTCATATCGAGACCAAAGGCCTTGTCTCAGGAGAAACCAAAGGCTCTAGGGAATTTGTCTTCAAATTAATGAGTTTTCCTAATAAACACGTTTTAAAAGTACTTTTTTCTTTCTTAAAGAGAATTCAGGTTGGATCTCGCTTAAAGCATTTCCAAATGCATGAGACTTACCTATAAAATAAATATATTTCAAACAAATTTCTTCGATAATGTTTGCACTTAAAAGACGATTAGAATTCCTTTGCAGGAATCTAAAATGTGTCATAAAAACAACATATGGTCCTGAATCAAATATTCCAATTCCCTGAACTCTGCTCAGGTCAAACGCTATCCCCTGTTTACCAATGTACACGCAGGTATACAATTGCAGACACGGCGTCGGTTTTTCCACGCCAAGCAAAATGCTGACATCCCTTGTATAAAAACACAAGTCATCCTCATTTTTGAGGGGCACGACTTCTGCATCCTTCCAAACTTAAAAGATGACCTGCAACCCTAAGCAGGGTGTCCTGAGGGTCCAGGCATCTTTGAGGCCTCAGGTTCAGAGCAGCCAAGGTCTAGCACAGTCTCACACATAGGTAAGTTTTCTTGCTCAACAGCACATGATGTTGCTGACTTCATTGCCAGGACAGCAGAAGAGCCAGTCATGGGTCTTTCTGAAGCAGCAGCTGATTGGCTGGCATGCGCTGATGTCTCCCGGTTGACCTTTGCAGTCCCTCTCCACTTCTTGAGAGCTTCTGCTCTCTCCTCTGGGGCAAGTCTGTCGAAGTACTTGGCTCTCAGAATTGGAGATGGAAACATGGATCCCTGAAGAACTCGGTATACAAACCTAGGGTTACAAAGAGCATCACAGAATTATATTCACTTCCATTGCATCATGATACCCCTGGGACCCATTGATCAGTTAAAAAAAAAAAAAAAAAAAGGGAAAAGACACTTAGCTTTTGAGCTAGAGGAAGGTAAGTCAGCCGTAGAGTGTAATTAAAATAACATGAAACTGGACGTGATAGTGAGCATGTATAAGTCCAGTACTTGGAAAAGGTTAAATTAGAGGGATAGCCATGAGTTCAAGGCCAGCTTAAGCTTGGCTCTGAGTTCCAGGCCAGCTTGGGCTACTGTGCAAGACCCTGACTTAAAAACTCAAAATAAAATATTTAAAAATATTAAACAGATTAATATTTATGAAACCTTAGCACATAGTGAGCACCCTCTAAGTGCCTTCCAAATAAGCATAAGGGAGCGCCTTTTCTACAGTTACAGTCATTTCAACATGAGATTTCTGGGGGGAAACATTCAAAGCAAAGAAGGTTCTTTGGCATAAGTGAAGATGGCTCCTTTCAGCAGATTCATGCCCTTGGCCCACAGGAAACTTCTTTCCTTTTGGCATGACACGGGTGTTGTACACTATACCAATAGAAGAGGGGAGCCTTTTTCAAGGCCATGAAGGGTTTGCTCTTCTGCCTTTGCCACATGTGACACAGCATCAAGTTTCATCTTCAAACAGGCATCATCAAACCTCCTAGTACCTTGACATGAGACTTCCCAGTCTCCACAACTCTGAGCTAGTACATTTCTGTCCATAAGTTACCCAGTTTAGGCATTCTGTTATAGCCGTAAAACACAGACCGAGGCAAGGGCTCAGGGGATGGCAGAGCAAATGATAGGACCTGGTAGGTCCTCAGATAATCCCATGAAGGAAAGTTTCCTTATTCCCATGAACTAACAGCCAAATTAAAAACCTCCAAGACAGAGAAATAAATACGTCTTCGCTCTCTCAATCTAGTCCTGTTTTATGGCGCAACAACAGAAACCAATATGTTGGCTAACGCACAGGCTGGCGGCCTCGCTGCTGAATAGGGTGGTCGCCATCCACTCTTCATCGTTACCTGAAGTCCGTGATTTCATGTTCTTACTCTTCTTGAGCAAACAAACTACGTACCTGGGCAGAAGAGCTACGCAGGTTGTAAGGACACAAACTAGGTAGAACACCGGGTCCAGCATGTGCCCCTGCATAATCCAGTATGGGTTGGATGGTGGGTTGCAAGTTATGCACAAGGCCCCAAAAGCCAAGGCAAAGAAAAAGTAAGACACGATGCTCCCAACAATGACCAGCATGTGGATCCAAGTCTGCAAGACAAGACCGGCCAGGAAAGGAATGAACGGGACATCTGAGACCTTACCACACAAGCCCTTGAGGGGAGAGCATCATTCAAGAGTGGCTCACAACTAAATCAAAAGTCCGTGGGCAATTCTGCTGGCTGGTTTAGTTTGCACTGTCCATGTACCAGGAGCGGTTTGGATTTCCATGTTCATTTTTGCACTGTCACCCATTCATTTTTTTTATACCGTCTCTCACTGATTTGATTAAGGCATTACCTTACTTACTTATGCTTGCTTCTTTTATTCGTTTTTTCTTCCCCCACTTCCTCCCTCCCTTCTTAGTTTCTTCGTTTGCTTCTTTCTTTCTTTCTTTTCTGTTTTTCTTCTCAACTGTCCTACATTATATTTGAAGCTTTATTCTAGGTTTTGTTTCCTCTTATTATGGGCTTTTGCAAGTGAGATTGTGACATCACAGCCCACAGTCATAAATGAGTTGACACAAAAAAGTGAATGTGGAGAACACTGGGTAAAACAGCCCAGGAAGAGGGAGGTGGCCAGAACACAGTGAGCAAGAGTGTGAAGGACATGCAATTTCTTGTGACTGTGTCTTCTGGGAAGGGGACTGCTCCCTGGCCCTTCACTAGCTCATTGGGATTTCCTCACTTGTTGAATCATGGTTCCTCAGTGTAATTTTCAGAGCATTTCTACTTGCTTAGGTTCTCCAGAATGAACTGTGTTTTCAGTCAGTGAAACACAACTGGTATACATGATGTGCCAGCCCCTTTGGAACACACAAACCTCAGAGTCAGTGCCATGTATCCTGACAGGACCAAAAGAATCTCTTAACAGTTGTTTAAAAGTTAAACAGATGTTCAAAGGAGACTAAATATTACTGCTTTGGAAGTTTCTTCCGCCAACCTGGTAGTTGCAAATATGAACATTTTATCATATTCAGAGCTTACATGATTAAGTTACAGGTCATGATACATAAGAAAAGCAAATGATGCCAAAAATAGATATCTGTTTCTACTATATAACTCGTCAAAGATAATTTGATAATATAGCACTGTATATTTTAAACCATAACCTCACTCGATGAGTCCCTGTTTGAACTCTGATATTTACCCTGATGGTAAATATAATCCCAGAATGGTCAGATATCTGCCTCCTTACTCCCAAGGGACTTTTAAACACCCACTCTAACCAGTCTTTTCTCTGACCCTGGTTTACGTAGTGAACAAACAGGCATGAGCCCTGACCTCGCAAAAACTATAATTTGATGAGGAAGACAAAGATGAATTAAATAATCCTATGATATATAAATAACTATAAATTATTTTTAACATTATGAATAAAGGCAAGATAATAAGATGAGAAAATGGATGATTCAGGAAAAGTTTTGGAGGGAAAGAGTGCATGCTAATGAGCTGAAGTAATATTCTGAATTTGGTAAAAGTCACAAATAGAACACGTGGTGGTTTGAATAGGTATGGCCCCCAAAGACTCGCCTGTTTGAATGCTTGGCCACAGGGAGTGGCACTGTTGGGATGTGTGGCCTTGCTGGAGGGAGTGTGTCACTGTGGGGCTGGGCTTTGAGGTCTCATATATACTTAAGCTATGCCCAGTGTGGCACACAGTCCCCTCCTGGCTGCCTACAGATCAAGACGGAAAACTCTCAGCTCCTTCCCCAGTACCGTGTCTGCCTGTGTGCCGCCCTGCTTCCCAGCATGACGATAATGAACTAAACTTCTGAACTGGGCAGCTGAAGCCGGTCCCAGTTAAAAGTTTTTCTATATCAGAGTTGCCATGGTTGTGGTGTCTCTTCACAGCAATAAAACCTGAGACACAAAGGGAAACCTAAAAGGATCTCCACTAACAAATACAGTAAGCAGCGAGGTTCTGACATGACAACAACCTCAATGCACCTGAGAAGCTGGAAGAGGGGTAGCGTGGTGCCAGCCCTTGAATAAAGAAGAGTGTGACCACAGGTTAAGCGTCTCACTGTGAGCGGTCTGATGAGCCGTGTTAGGGTTTCCAAGTTCATGCCAAGTTTAGTAAAATATAAAGAATCTTTGCTGGGAGGAAGGGGGCTACAGCTGGGATACAAAGTGAATAAATTATAATGATCAAAAAAAAAATTTAAAAAAGAATCTTTGCTGGAAGAAATCAGAAATATTTTATATTATCACAAGGGCATAAAGTCATCATTTATTAAAGTCAACACAGTGGGGTTATGGCACAGAAGGTCACTGACTTTAGTGCAGAGCCTTCAGCTTGTCTTAAAGCCTACTCAGCACAGATGGTGATTTTCTTGTCCACCGACTCACACCTCCATGAAATACCTACCAGTGACAGAAATCAAGACTCAGAGAGGTACTTTTCACTTTCCCTGGACTCGGCATCATGGTGCTCTCAATTCTGCCCTGAATGACCCTTTATTTTTATTTTTTTATATTAATCACAGGTTATTTACTTTGTATCCCAACTGTAGCACCCTCCCTCATTCCCTCCCAATCCTACCCTCCCTCCCTCATCTCCTCCCTGCCCCTTTCCAAGTCTACTGCTAGGGGAGGTCCTCCTCCCCTTCTAGCTTATCAGGTATCTTCAGGACTGGCTGCAGTGTCCTCCTCTGTGGCCTAGAAAGACTGTTTCTCCCTCTGGGGGGGGGGCAAAGGAGCCCCATAGTTCCTGTTCCCCTTTTTTCCACAGAATCATTGCTCTTGCCAGCATTGCACTTACAGCCACGGAGGGCTCGACAGCTCCACTGCTAACAGACGATAAGCCCGAGCAGAAGAAACACACTCACCAGACTCTTGCTTTCGATCACCAGATGGAGGAGAATGATGAACAGGGCTGCTGTGTTCAGCGGATTCCCGAATGTGAAGATGTCAATGTCAGAGCCCTGGTAGGTCTACACGGAGAGAAAGACAGGCGGTGAGCATGTTGGTTAACACCATGTCACTTAAAAGTTCAAATGTGGTTAAGGCGTTGGACTCGAAATCCAATGGAGTATTCTCTATAATAGTTCTATTAACTAAATGGTCACTTAGGAAAAAATGAACGTTCCCAAAAAGAGACTGACTCCCCCAGGTAGACTATCAATCTGTGTGTTGAACTCTTGGGTGGAATTCCTCTTCATTCTGAATAATAACTGATCTTCGTGGATGCTTCTGTTCAGACACAGGCAGACAAACGTGTTCCGCCTAAGAAATCACTGAAGTTGCAGTTATACCCACCCTAAGCTTATACCTGTAAGTAAACATCCCTCCCGCCCACCTACGCATCTTCAAGTCCTTCCTTTTGCCATTCCTCACGTGATACAATTCTCTCTTCTCCCAGGACCCGTTCCTGAATGCACTTCCAGTTGCTTTGCATAAATTCCTCCTGAACAGTAATACAGCCAAAATATTTAAGGGAGCCTACTTCAGGTAATTTAAACTGAACAAGGCACAGAAACTGTCAGCTGAACGTGCGTCACTGACTTCCCTCTCAGCGCTGTACTGTCAACACACTCTGTGCTCACACACTACTTTCCGGAACAAGGCTCAGACAGGCAGCTTCACCATGTCTACTGTGCACAGTGAGTGAGCTTTTAAAATGAACTTTTACACAGTCTTTGCTTAGTTCCATTTCTTCCAAACATATCTGTAAAACGTGGTTTTTAGTAACTGTTAAAGATATTCCTTACAGGCACTTACATTTACTATTCTGTGTATAAGCCTGACAGAATTAGCCTAATTCTCACCAGCAGAAGCTCTTATATTTCTGATATTGCTCCATGATTTCTGGCTAGTTCATTTACATGGCTGGAATTTAAATTTTATTTAAGCCACTGACAAAAATAAGTAAACAGTTTTTAGTGTTAACAAGAGACCCAAGGTAACGCAACTAGGTACTTCATTGAGTCCATTACTAGCATATTGTTAGGGGTTGTTAATCAACCAATTAACAGTCAACCAGAGGCTGGTACATAGACGCATCATTGATTCACTAACGGCAAGTACACTGAGCAAACGACTTACAAAATAAGGCACAAAGAAGCACACCAGGCTTTGATAGAAGGCATCCAACAAGGTGATCCAGAAGGTGAGAGGCAAGTACGCCTGGGAACAGAGCACACGTCGGAGAGAGAGGGTCAGTGCGGAGTAAAAATCCATTCCTTCATTCTCTGTTTCACACTGCGTGGGGGAGGAGAGACGGCAGCGAGGGAGGACACCCTCGCTCTTGAATGTGGTGGGGAAGGCGACAAACTGCAAAGGAACTTTTTACTCAACGCCCTTGATCCATTTAACATCTAACTTTACTCTTAGCTTTTTGTGAGAGTTTCTCCGCACTGATTTCCAGAGTGGCTGGACCAGGTACAGTCCCATGAACAGTGGCCGAAGGTTCCCTTTTCCTTGAATCCTCTCCAGCATTTGCCGTCAGCTGTTTGCTTGCTCCGAGTCATTCTGACTTCATGAGATGTAGGAACATATACATGTAGATATATGTCTGTATGTGTGTGTAACAGTAACAACTAAAGAAAAAAAGGCCATGGTTTTGAAAGGAGATGAGATGGGATGAGAGGAATTGGAAGGAGGGAAAGGAGAAAATAATATAATTACATTTTAATTAAAAATATACTTTATCATGGGACAACATATGTGTACTCGTGTGTATGCATGTGTGTGTACACGTGTATTGTGTACATGTGTGCATGTGTTCACACATGCACATATATTCTGTATTTTTGTAGATACATGTACGTGTGTGTTTATGTGCCTGTGTATGTATGCGTGTGGTGTGTGTTGCCTCTCCTTGCAACTGATTCAACTACCGGGTCACACATGTTAAGCATGCACTCTGCCACTGAGCTACAACCCTAAGCCCTTCTGGATCTATTTTAATACCTAAAGAAGGATCGCAGTAACTTTTCATGTCTACTGATCAGAAAGCGCTATTCAAAAACTTATCCAAATCCATCACTTTTCTTTGCTTACACTTCCTGCCATTACCATCAGTTCTGTTTATGAACAACTGGACAGCCATCTTACTCACCCTCTATGCTGCTCCTTGGTAGCCTCTACACAATCTCTCATATGTTATAACATGAACACAAAATGTCCTCCAATCATCTTTTGCCTTGCAAACTTGGTACTGTTTTGGAATCTGAAAAGGTTTTGGAATCTGGCCTGGCTGGCAGAAGTAGGCCAGTCCAGATCCAGTTTTATCTGCCCAAATGCTGCATCTTTGACTCACTGTACACCATCTCCTGTCCCTTCTAACATGACCAGCCACAAAAAAATAAAACAAAAGAGGAAAGGAAAAAACTGTAAGGTAAAATAAATCCTTCCTTAGTTCATTGGGTATTTGGTTACAATAATGAGGAAAGCACTAAATAAATAAGTAAATAAATAAATAATAGAGCTATAGGTCTAGCAGAAGGTTCTCAGAACAAGAAATAAAATGGCTAGTAATCCAAATCCTTGGCTATCAGGGAAGTGCAGATTAAAACCAACTTATGATTTTATTTCACATTAGTCAGAATGGCCATAATTAGAAATAGAAATGACAACAGATGGTGGTGTGGATGTGGGGAAAGGGACATCCTTATACACTGTTGGTTAGATTACTGCCGTCCACTTAGAAAATTAATCTGGAGGTTTCTCAGAAAACTCAAAACGGAACAAGTATACGATTGAGCTCTCATACTTCTGGGCAAACCCCAAAGGACTTTACATCCTACTTTGGAAATACTTAGAAGTCCATGTTCATTGCTGCTGTATTCACAAAAGCTAGAAAATAGAACCAACCTACATGTCCATCCACTGAAGAATGGATAATGAAAATGTGGTACATGTCCACAGTGAAATATTGCCCAAATGTAAAGAAAAATGAAATCATAACAGTTGCTGGTAAATGGAAGAACTTCAAAATGTTATACTCAGTGAGGTCCACCAGGCTCAGAAAAATAAATGTCACATGTTCTCTCTCCTGTAGATTCCAGTGCTGACTCTTGCTTTGTTTGTTTGATTTGGAATGCATGTGGAAGCCAGGTAATGGTAAAAGGGACACTGGGTAGGGGACACTTACACTTTAAAGAAGCGAACTTGGCAAAATAAAAATTACTGGGAGTAGAAAGATTCAAACATGGAAGTTGGTAGGGAATAGAGAAGTGAAAGGCTGGGAGGAGGCTGAGCCAAAATGAGGGGTGTATGAAAAAGCTATAAGGAAACCTATGATCTTGAACACAAGTAAAAAATATGATAAGAGAAGAGCACAGGAGACATGAAGGAACAGGGGGGTATTCTCTGCGTTAAAGAGTATAAATGGGGATGAGGTGGGAGATGGGGAGCACAGGGGCTAGGGATTTAGGCATGACTGAAGATGTATGAAGATGCCTTAAGGAAACCCACTACTTTATAAGCTAATTTAAAAATATAATATATATTTTTAAAAAGGAATTTGAACAAAAGTACCTTGCATGGGCAAACAATGCTGCTCCCAGAAGGCGTGGTTTGCTAACTGCAAATCTCAGTGCTAGGCACAGGATACCTTCCTCTGAGTTCTTAGCCATCCAGGTCCGAGGGGTACCCAAAACAACAAAGGCTAACACCATTGGTCTTGGCTGTCACCACATTTAAATGGCAAGACCCTCTTTCTGAAGAGACCACTCCTTTTGGATACAGGGCATAGATAAACCAACCTCAACTGAACAGGAAACTTCTTCCTACTGAGTAGCTTACACAGTGCCACAAGTTGCTCTGCAGGCTTCTGGAGGAGAGAAAGAAGCCAGTGATCATAGCCAGCAATAGAAAACGTGAGCTACAGCATCCAGCTGTGTGGCAACAAAGCATTCATTCAGTGGTATTGTGAGAGTTTGGCGGTAACCAACCACTTTCTGATTAGTTACCAGATCTACTCCAGAGGAGATGTTTCATGCCTGGCACTGTAAACCTGGGGAGATCCTGGGACCTAGCTGGGAACCTATGGTTGTCATGTTAAACGGTCGTGCTGTCAACTTGCATTCTAAACGTTTGTGTTTATACCCACAATCTCATGACGCTGTCAACTTTGGTCAGAGATAACGTTAATAGTTAACGCAGGAACTCTCAACTGATTTAACTGCCAAGTGTGGATGAATTATCTGTACCAACATTCCCTCACCCAAGGCTTGGAGAACATCGATGACCGGGTAAAAGGAATGTAAGAGCTGGTGAATGGGAAGGGAGCTGCGAGGCCGACTTCCAGGTGACAGGGTAGTTGCAGGTACCACCTCGCAGCAGCTGATATCGGGTCCACAGTATCAAGCCCATCAAAACTGCAAAACAGATGAGGGAGGGACCCCTGAGGCTCCATCCCTGGCAGAGGAGCTATGGAGAGCAGTGTTTGCTGAGGAGGGACAATACTGCCATTGCCGGCCCATACCCATGTACACCTGGCATGGGTGTCACTCATCGGACTGAGGATTTTCAGTAACAACAACAACAACAAAGAACAAAGGGAAAACACGAAGTGAGAACACTAGGGGAAGGTGAACCGAGGTGATGCTGAAGGATACGATAAAAATACATTGTATAAGATGCATATGTGTGTGTGTGCATACATATAACTGCACAATGCCAGCTACTAGGTTTTCTAAAAATATAAGCCAGTCCGTGATATCTTCCTCACTGATCAAATTGCCTTTTTCTAGTCGCTCCAATGATTTCTAGAACACTTCCGTTATGACTGAAGTTCCTCCCCAGACATATCAGGTCCAGCATGTTCTTGCCACTGGTTATGTTTCCACTGGCATTCCACAGCATGGATATAGTCAAATCTATTCATTTCCTCCAGGCTATCCTCCTTGCTAGGAGCTCTTTCTTAGGCCCCCTACATACCTGGTTCTAGTTTTATAAATCCTAAATGTCACCTCCTCGCAGAGGGACACCAGACTAGCCTGAACGATATCTCCACCTTGTCATTTACTAGCACAGACAGCATCATACAAAGTCTTTATCAGAAAAAAACGGCTAAGGTGCTTTGGTTCTCAAAATTGATTGCAAGGTTCAGAGTGGAACTGTGGGTCTTTTATTTAAAACAATGGCTCAGACAAAGCAGGTACTCACAACATGTATCTTAGGTTAATTAGCTATTCTTATTAATGTCACTGTTTTCTATCTAACGCTTGTAGAAAGAGAAAGGGCCGTAACCCTTTTGCAGGGAGGCCACATATCTGATATCCCCCATATCAGACATTTACAGTACAATTCAGAACAGTAACAAAATTACAGCTCTGAAGTAGCCACAAAATAATCTTATGGATGGGGATCACCACAACATGAGGAACTATATTAAAAGGTCACAGCGTTAGGAAGGTCGAGAACCACTGGTACAGAGCACTGAAAGCAACCGGGCATGTTAAATACTCCTACACTATCCGGGTCTGGCTGACTGGAGGCATGCTGGCTTCCCCATGGCATGCGTCTCCTGACACGTGCGTCTGCTTGGGCACTTACCTCTGATTGCTGGCCACTCTGGTAAAGTTCAGGCAGCTGCAGGAGGGTCTCCGCTGACACATCTTTCTCCAAAACACCATAAATGATGGGGGGAACAGATGTGAAGAGGAGGTTGAAGAAGATCAGAACCCAATAGTCGGTCATGGATGTTCCTGAAAACCCACAAAAGAACTGGTACCAGAAAAGGAGATTCACATAGGCCTGAGGACACAAAGAAAGACGTTCAGATCTTAGAGACATCAGTACACTTGAACAGACATCCTACACACTGCGCTTCTAAGCCCTGTGCCCTCCGCCCCCCACAGCTTTGTCAACCACAGATGGAAGAACACAGCTGGCCAAGTCTTTCTTTAATTTTGTTTTGTTTTCAATAAATATCTTATTAAATTATACACATGCCAGTACTCTATACATACCATATACTATTCTTTTGTTTGTTTGTTTTTGTTTTTTAAGACAGGGCTGTCCTAGATTCGCTTTGTAGACAAGGCTGGCCTCAAACTCACAGCGACCCACCTGCCTCTGCCTTCCTGAGTGCTGGGGTTACATGCGCCCGGCTGCTGGCACTATTCTAAATGAGTCAGTCACAAAGAATTAATTTAGTCTTCATAATAATTTGGTAATTACTGTTGCTCCCATTTTATACATAATGAACTAAATATTTCCAAGCCCTTAAAATACATATAGGCAAATCTTAGTCTCTAGTGTGATGGTGATAGGAGGGGAGTTCAAATGGTGAAGTAATTAGGTCACGGTAGGGCCCGTGAGAATGAAATTAGAATTCCTATAAAAACGGACCTCTGGTGGCTTTCCTCTACCCAGAGAGGACATAGCCAGAAAAGCTCATTACCAAAGCTCAACCACACACACTCTCTGATTTCAGACTTCTGGCTCCTAGACTGCAGGAGATTTCCATTGTTATTATTGTGGCACTTCATTGTTGCATGCTGAATAATCTAAGCTACTGAGACGCACAGAGAATAAAGATTTGCACAAAGTTACCCAGCTACTTGTTTGCCATGTAAGCGGCAGAGCTGTAGATATTTTCACTCTAGATAAAGACAACAGAGGCGAACGCCTGGCTCACCACACACTTTTCCGCCTTCTTGCCCAGTTACTTCCTAGTGGAATGGTGACATCAGAATGGGCAACATCCAGTTATCTTGAGACTGAGAGGTTCCCAAAGCATGGGATTCGTACATGAGAACGTGGCTGCCCTAGGGGTTGGTCTTTCTCCCGAGCACCGTATCTTAAACTTGACCAGTACAGAAAAAAAAAAAAAAAAAACAAAAACAAAAACAAACAAACAAACAAAAAAAAACCTTTGCTTTCAAGCAGGGCAAAAGGGTGAATATAGAACTCAGGTTCCGGAGGATGTTTCTAATTTCAAGATTTCAAATGTTTTGTCATTTTCTGAACCTCTGTAAATTCTGGTTTCATCCTGTATACAATCAAAATTATATTACCTCAGAACTAACTGCCAAAAACAAGTTGGGAAGTACTCATAACCTGTAAGAAGTGGTGTAACACATATTAAAATGTCGGGCTTATTATTATTATTATTATTATTATTATTATTATTATCATTATAGAAGTTTTAGTTTCTTTAAAAACTCAGTTAGTTTGTGTAAACATGTTTTTGTTTTAATCCCAAGTGTGGGATTCTAATTGGGCTATAGTTTGTCCACAGCTATTAACTGTCTCATGCAGGCTGTGGCTTTTGTCAGCTAGTAATCACAGGCAGTATGAAGAGGGGTGTGGTCTAGGCTCAGAGGACATAAAGTGAGAGCTAAGAAAGAGAAGGCGCGGTGTGTGGTGATGGCGTGTGGCATGTAGCAAGAGACCAGAGAAAAAGGTGTGGCTGTTTGGAGCAGACAGATGGAGAGAAACAGAGAAACACTTCCGGGGCGCACTGGCTTGAAGAAGCCTGCTGGCTGAATCTGCTGTTGATGGAGATTGGTATAGGGCCCTAAAAGAACCCATTGACCCTAAACAGCTGGGAGAAGTGGAGGGGCCTCTCTCCCCACTCACCTTCTCTTTCCTACACGGCGCTGGGAGGTTGAGGCCTAAACAGCCCAGATAAAGTAGAGTTTTTAAAATGAGTGCTACTTATTATCGTAAAGTTTATAGCTCAGCTGGCCTCAAATTCCCTATATTTCCAAAAATGACCTTAAACTTCCTTTACTTGTGTGTGTGCATGTGTGTTGTTATACAGGTATGGTGTATGCGTACACACTATGTGCAAGCGCAGACAGCAGGACAGCAGGACTCTGTTCTATCATGTTCTAGCTCACTCTTTAAGACAGGGTCTCTACCCGACCTGAAGTTAGGCTGGCAATCAGTTAGCCTCAGTGATCTTGTCTCCATCCACAACAGTGCTATGGTATGGGAACACTTGAGCAAGCCCAGCTTTTTAGCGTGAGTCCTGGGGAACTGAACTTGGGGTATCTCCTCCACCCAGCTCTTACTGACTGTCCCTCACCCCCGAAATCTGACCTCTCCATTCAGGAGATGACAGGGCATGTACTGTCACACAGGCAGTTTGTGCGGTGATGTGCATTGTGCTACGGAAGCGTCCTTCCAACTGAGCTACAACTTCATACCACCCAATAGCAAGATACTGTGGTCACTAGCCCCATGGATTTACCACAACAGCCTAGCACAGGGCCAACTCAGAATAAACGTCTCTAGTGTTCATGGAGAAGCACTATGGTTAGTTCCTACACATCTATCCAGTTTGGATACACGTAGTTTGGGGCATTACTCTGGGTGTGAATCCCAGCATTCATTAATATCTCATAAGCTGACCAACATCAAAGAAACAGTCTTTCAAATTAAGCCACTTCAAAGACTTCTGGCCCTTGCCCAGTTCTCTGTAAAGGGAGAGGGCCTCCTCTCTAAAAGCCCTAGATTTCTTGAAATTTTCCATGACAAGCCAGAGATTTCTCCGGTTAGAGACATTTGATATTTCAAATATGTTCGTAAGGTATCTGAAGACCCTTAATTTTGAATAAGCGCTATGTCGATTCAGAAAAGAACTGAGAGATTCCTAGGAAATCATCGAGAAGCCCACCCCACCCACAAACACAGATCTAAATTACACATCGTGGAGATATCCTAAACAGGTATTTCAAGAGTAATCCACTGTATTTCCACTACCAACATGCTGTACTTTTAAAGACCAAGAATGAATGCACTCTAAAGAGCATAATACAGTTACATAATCAACCTAGAAGAATCAAATGAGTTGTACTAAATCAGCATGAGTGTGTAAGAAAGAACACTGAATCCCCGTATGTTGCTATATGCTTTAATCCTAGCAATGAGCTGAAGCAGAAGGGTTTCTCCAACTTTGTGGTGAGCCTCGACTACATAGTGATACCAGGCCATCCAGGGCTGTGGAGCAAGACACTGCATGAAAGAATAAAGTAAGAATAAAAGAATCAGAAGGAAAGAAGGAAGGGATTGAGGGAAGCATGGAGGGAGGGAGGGAGGAAGGAAGAAAGAAAGAAAGGAATTTAAATGAAACACTGATGATTAGACAACAGGATTTCCAGTTTCTGATTATTCCAAGCAATAATCCCACTAAAGTTTCATGACCACAAAATATCTACTATGCATAAATAGACTTTTATGGGCTGGGTAGAAAATCCTTGCACTTGAGTTTTCATCTCTACCGCTCCTTGATATACTACAGGAGCCATTAATTAGGAACAGTAGATTTATTTACTTATAAGCAGTAGATTATTTACCTATTTATTTATTCATTCATTTATTTACTTATTTGCCATCCCTAGTACCACAGAGGCAAACCTTTTTATTTTCTCCCGACAACTTGAAACATTTCACAATCCTGCTTGTGACTATCTTGTCAGAGAAGGCCAAAAATTGGATTTTAAATGAAGCAGTCAGGACTTCATGGCATACAAACGTACAAGGACAAGAGTGTGCTGACAGATGGACAGGCCTAGCAATTTGTTCCTAATAGCTCAAACATAAGCACTCCCAGATTATCTCTGGGAAGACATTGTAACAGCTTCCAGCTTTTCTCCAGATACCAAGCACAGCGAGGTAGCATCCTATCTTTCCTCCTCATCCTTGAGGCAACCAGAAGGTTGAACTGGAGAGGAGGTGGCAGATTCTCAGCAGGTACATACCACATTCTTGTAGAAAAAGTAGAGAATCATGTTGGAGAGCCGCGTGTAACACCAGTGCCCATGCACGAGGAGGAGCTTGCCGAGATGTCTGAACTGGGAAATGGCGAAGTCACTGGCCATCACTGCCTGCGGAGGCGACAGGGAGAGAGGAGCACCCTGAGCAACGGAACATGCTGGAACACACAAAACCTAGCAGGCACAGCCTGACCATTAGTAAGCCCAAACCAGTTAACTTACCTTCCAGAAAGAAAGACTATACGTATACACATATACACATGCATGCATGTATCCATAAATATACACATACATACACAAAGAGAAGCAGGGATGGACAGACAGGACAGACAGGACAGACAGACAGAGTCACATCTTCCTCGTTCTCATTCTCTCGTGTCTCCTTTCCTTTCCCTTCCCTCCCAGTCCTCTATATTTTTTCATGTGATGTACTCAAATGGCAGTAGATTTTACTTTCAGTGAGAATTTAACAAAGCTATCGCATGCCTACAAAGAAAAATCTTACGATGTACAAAGGCTTTTTTAAGAAAAGAAAACCTGAACACAGAAGAAACTAGCCAGGGCCACCTAACATTCCAGTGGCGGAATGGCTGAAAGGCTTCTCTCATCCCCCAGCCTCCCTGACCCGTGGAGAAGGTTCCCCTCAGCAAGCAGATCATGTCATGGTACTTGGAAGTGTATGACTCACCTGCATGCCTTCTTGACCTGAGACACCGATCCCAATGTCGGCCACTTGGATCATGCTAACATCATTGGCGCCATCACCTTCATGAGGCAGAGGGAAACATGGGACACACACAAGGAATAAATATGTAGACTGCAAACCAAGTGGCTGTTATTTTATTTACATTGCTCTTCTGTCTCCACGTGTGTCTGTGTGAGGGTGTCAGATCCGCTGTAAGTGGAATTACAGAAGTTGTGAACTGCTATGTGGGTCATGGGATTTGACACCTGGGTCCTTTGGAAGAGCAGCCAATGGTCTAGACCACTGAGCCATCTCTCCAGCCCTATAGATATTGTTTTATAGCTCTTGTCTAAGGATGCTACAAAAATGCCACTCAAAAGTAGTCATTGAATGGATAAAATTTTTCATATTCCTAAATTTAACTTGTCTAAAGATTGAACTCTTGAGATTTTCAGTTCCGTGGTTCAAAATTACTAAGTTGATTTGGAGTCTAAGATATGACCCAAAGAATATTATCACACTGTTCTCTGTGCTCCATTCCCAACACCAGGTTCACGGTGGGTGATCAGAAAGGCAGGAAGGGAGTAAAGCAAGATAGACAGACGGTAAAGGAGAGGAACGGTGTGTAGCAGGAAAAGAAAAAAAATATATATATAATGTATATAAATTCATATATTATATAAAGAAGAAGGCAAAGGATCAGCCCCTGAGGTTATACAAAGGAGGATGCAGGGCAGGGTTTCCACCCTCCCGCCTCCGCTCACCAATGGCCAGGGTCATCACATGGAGATGGTTCCGAACCAACTTCACCACCTCACTTTTCTGAAGCGGGGTGGCTCGGCAGCAGACCACCGCTTGGCACCATGCCGTCAGCTCAAGGAATTGCTTCTGCAGACTCTCCTGCAGGACAAACTCCAGGGTCTTCCCGGTGATAACAAGTCCTGCTCGTCCTGAGCGCCAGGGGTCTGGAGGCTGAGGAAGGGCCTTTCTTGGTGATGCCGGCTCTGGAGAGGCTTGAGTTCTCTTCTGAAGTTCTTTCAGAATTGCACTCATCAGCATCCCACAGGCATCCTGGACAAAGAGGCAGAGACGGTTAACCTTGGGGCGCCGCTGGAGAGCTGGCTCAATTTTTCATTCTCTTTCTTTAGCAATTGCTGGACCGAGGCTGCCTCGGGTAGTGAACCACAGGTTACCGTCAAAGAGCCCACTTCGTAACTTTTCAATTTTGCAGCTCTTCTGTGGGCTTCTGTGTCCAGGTGAGAAGGCAGAAGCATCTCAGACACGATTTTACAGCTAAAATGTCTACGCTTGGTGTAAAATCCCACCGTGTCGGCCGCATCCCTTCTCCGGAAGAGCCCTCAGGGCTCATGCCATCAACTTCTAGTTGTTTAGCTTTACACAAACACATCACCTCCCTAAGCATCAACTCTCTCATCTGCAGAAGGCACGTGTTACCTCCATCCTAACACCACAGCGAGGACCAACTGAGATGCAGACATCAAAGGCAGTGACTAACGTTTTCATCTTCTTTTTAATTAAGATAATCCACCCAGAAGCAGCTACTGAGAAAGCGTATGAGAAAACACCCTGAGCTTGGGACACATCCTGGCTCAGCAGAGAGGTTTGGGTCATGTGATGCAAATACATGCCCTCTCAGCAGAAGCTGAACAGACTGACACACTATTATTATTGCTGTTATTATTATTATTACATCATTATTCTTATTTGGTTTTTCAAGACAGAATTTTTCTACATAGCCCTGGAACTCACTTTATAGACCAGACTGGCCTTGAACTCAGAGATCCATCTGCCTCTGCCTCCCAAGTACTGGGATTCTGATTGGTGGCACTTTTTTTTTTTTAATCTTTCTCCTTTTTGTTGGTGATTTTGTTATTTGAAATAGCTCCTAATTACACTGTTGCTAGTGTCCCTAAACACTCAACAGCTATGATGTACATTACCAAGAAATTGCTGTGTTAGGTATACTCTTCAGGCATGAATTAAGAGTGAGGCTACGCACACATTTAATTTGAAGGAATCCACAATAAATATTAAATAACCTATCATGAGAGAGAAATACATATGAAATGATGCTATGTGTTAGCCAAATGATCAAAGGCCTATAGGAAGTAAAAACTGTGATTCTGCCTTAGGATAGCAGTCACAATTGGCTAATTCAGGTTCAAGGTAACGCTATAAAACATAACTCCACCAAAGTGGGAAGTGGTTGTTTATATATAGTGTGCAAGTCGCACTATAATACAGAAGGATCTTGAAGTAGGAGATACCAAATCCAACACTTGCTATTACTTCACACTTGGTAAGAAATGGCAATATTGTGGTGTCTCTGCCTATAAAACGAGTTAATATGCCCTTGTTACAACTGTCAGATGAGACCATGCATAGAAAGCCTTCCAGCGCTTCTACTAAAGATTACAAATATGAGGTTATTATTCTTGGGAGAAAAACTCTGTAAGCATACAACTTAATTGAACGAGCAATCTTGAGATGTCTATGTGTTTCTGAGGACCTGATAATGTGAACATGAAAGAAAGAAAGAAAAAAAACCCTTCCTATGATGCAGGCTTCTAAGTGGATACAGGTTAGCCTCAGTTTTGCCAGTAGTGAAGTTCATAGAAATTTATAAAGTTGCTGCATAAACACGACTTTAAGGTATCCAAGGACTCACTGGCTGCCCAGTGGCTCCGAGGATGTTATAGAAGTAATTCACCACAGGACACTTTGGGCTTTGTGTTCTCTGGGTCCTTTTTAGCTTTTAAGGAATCCTAAGGAATGGAGATTGGAAAAGGGACTTATTTACAGATTAGTGACTAAACCAATATTCAAAAAATAAATTAAATCATGTCCATTGTTTTCTTTTGAGCCATATACAAAAACTCACATGTACGAAGTTATTAGTAGCAACTACAATCAATTAGATGTGCACTCAATACGTCTAGGACTGGTAGTTTTAAATGCCTTCCAACATAAACTGTCTATATATAAATAAATTTTATAATCACTCTGAGTTTTACATATCAATAAAGTACCCAAGTCAACAGATTAAAAATATTTACTGTTTCTAAAAACCTAGAAGAAAGGGTTTTACATGTTTTTATCATAAAGAAATGAGAAATGGTTGAAGAGGCAAATATATTGAATATGATTTAAACATTAGAGAATCTGTACATAGACTGAAACATAATATCCCATTAATAGGAGTAATTTTTTTATTTTTAGTATCACCTAAAAATAAGTTTAGTTGGGTTGGAGAGACAGCTCAGTCAGCAAAGTGTTTGCACACATACAAACTAAGGAGCTAAGCTCAAGGCCCAGCACCAGGGGAAAAGGCTGAGCTTAGGAGATACTGCTTATAAACCCAGCAATAGGGAGGCAGAGACAGATGGAAACAGACAGCTCCCTGTAGCTTGCTGTCAGACAGATGCAGTCCAATCAGCAAGCCCAAAGCAAATAAAGAGACTCTGATTCAAAACACAAAACAGTAAGACAATTGATAGATAGATAGATAGATAGATAGATAGATAGATAGATAGATAGATAGATAAAAAAAAAAAAACAACCAAGCAAGGTATATAGCCCCTGAGGACCAACATCATAAATTATATATTGACCTCTGGCCTCTACACGTACATGCACACTCATGTGAACGAGCACACGCAGCAGGCATGTATGCACGCACACACATGTACACACACTTATTTAATTTAAAAAAGGAAATGTGCAGAATATCAGACACTTATCAGCATGCCAGTTAGAACACTAGCTCATTGATCCACTTATATTTATTATTTCCTAGAAATGGAACAACTCTGCGGCAACCTTTCACTCCTGGCAGCACTAATATCTGAACAACAAGATCTTTGGTTGCGTGTGGGGCTGTTCTGCACAAGGTACAAGACATCTGGCAGCATCACCGGCTTCTGATAACTACAAACCAGCAGCATCCATCCTACCCCAAGTGCGCCAGCCAAAATGCCCCCAGGGCTTGCCAAGTGTCCCCCGAGGAGCAAAGTTCCTTTTGGTGGCAAAGAGTGATTGACACACCCGACCTGAGTGATGCTATGCCCCGCTTCTCATGCTGACACAGATCATCACGTCTGTTCTCACAGACACAGGAAGCACCCCCCCTGACACATGCAGGGAGCGCTGGGCCCTCGAGACATGCAGCGTTATGCTTGGTTTCCCATGCATGCAGGTTGGAGCTAACTGGAAGGACGCTTGAACTGTCAGTAGACTTTCTCTGAGGGACAATTCCATTCTTTCATCTTTTCCGAAAGGCTCCCGCATTGCTTGAACGTGTAATAATGTATTACAATCTTAAGATAAAAGTTTTTCCTGGCTAAAAAGCTCTACATCAAATTAAAGACACCAATAATTAATTCCTTTTTTTAATTTGTTTGGTGTGTGTGTGTGTGTGTGTGTGTGTGTGTGTATTGGCATAGCCATGCCATGGTGTATGTGTGGTGGTCAGATGACAATCTTCAGGAGTCAAATCATGGTCTCCTCCTACCAAGTTGGTTCCCGGAATCTAACTCAGGCCTCAGGCTTGGCAGCAGCATTTCATCAGCACTATTTGCCTTTTTCTTTCTTTCTTTTTTTTTTTTTTTTATTTTATGCTTACCAAATCCCTCAGTAGACACTGAGACATTTAGCTTTTTTTTTTTTTTTTTTAGGCACTGCTGGCCTTCTGCAGGAGGACATCCCCAACTCTGCAGAAGCCCTTCACAGAACTGATGCCAGCGGGAGACTTTCCTTATTTTTGTTCCTAACTACATCATGACATGGGTGTTACTGTCCGTGACAGGCAGGGAAGAAGAGGCCGCACTGGGCAAGTAACTCCCCAAGATATATACTTGGTCAGTGGTAGATAGATATTTCACGAGCCACTCAGGCCATATCCATTTTGAGTCAGAGATGATTCTGCCCGTTGATGGTACTGGGTGCTGGCTGGTGGTTCTGCATATGTCCCCTGGGGCTGCTACAGAAGCGAACCCAGTCTGTGACGAATAAGGACAACTCTCTTCCTCAAAATGTATCACCAAGCCGAATATCAGTCTCCGGAGGCTGAGCCACAAAACAGCTAGCCAAAAGTGACAGCCCGTGACCCCAGTTCAGAACCTCACCCCACAAGGTGTCTAGAGAAGGCATCGCAAATTAAGGATGCTGTGACAGAATGATGTGACTGCCTGCCTTTCACGAGCAAGGGAGGAGGCAGGAAGTGCTTTCAAGCAAAGAAAACAGGATGCGCACACCTGCGAGTATTTCGATCTCTTAGAGTCTTCTGTGAAATACTCATTTGACATATTCAAATGTCCATCCTAGTGCTTAATGGTGTGTGTGTGTGGGGGGGAATGGGTGGTTCAAAATCTTTTCAAGTCGTGCTGTTTTAACAAATTCTGTGCCCTTCATTTCCACAAATGTTGGATGCTCTTACGAGCACTACCTAAATTCACCACTAGAGGGCAGGATTATGCTGAGAGCCTAATTTTAAAATGTATCGTAAAAATACCTTGTTACTACTTCCCTTTAACTTAAAAAGGGAAGCAGGTTCCAGTCTCAAGATTTCACATATACTCTCATTTTTGTCTGTTTTAACATACAGTGGTGGGGTGGGGGGGGGGGGGGGGGGGGGGGAGGATAGGTGGTGCAAAATAAAAAAAGGAAGTTTCTTCTAATGCTTGTATTCATCCATGATGCCTCTGAATCAGGCTTTTAGAAAAACTATGGCATCCTCCCAAATACGAGCAAGGTCATTCAGCAGCATAGAATCAAGAAGCTGCAGGCGACTGGCTTTTCTTTCTCCTTGCATGTGTCAGTCTCCTGGAGCCCTATGGGCTTGGGGTTTAAAAGCATATTTGGCTCAGCGGCAGGGTGCATACTTTACTCTGAGTGTTGAGGGTGAAGAGCTTGTCATCCGGCTCCAGGAGTTTGCATGCATAAGCTATGTTGACAGCTGTCTCCTGCTTGTCCCCCGTCAGCATCCAGATCTTGATGCCAGCTTTGTGAAGAGCCTCTATAGACTCGGGGACCCCCTCCTGCAGACGGTCTTCAATGCCAGTAGCACCTGAGAAGTAATTAAAATATAGTAAAAAAAAAAAAAAAGGTTGCTTAGAAACCAGAGCCAGTGGTAACTCCCTTAGCCATTAATTGAATCCTATCCACAGACCATTCAGTCCTGAACTATATGAACTGCAGACCAGACATAAGATATAAAGAATCATGGAATTTATCAAACATGCATTCTGTTCTCCTTAAGGAGTTTATAATACATGCAGTCTCCTCTTGTCTAGTATTCTTATCAACAAATTCAAAAGCTGATTCCCCTATTCACATACAGAAGCTTGCCCTGAATTTTACAATTTTATGAAACTCCCAGGGTTGAAGGTAGGCTCTTAAAGAACACTCTTATACTTAAGATACAAGGTCTGTTAGGGATGCTCTTTCATAGTGTCAGTCCACAATGCCCTTTTCTGGAACAACTGGGTGGAGCCAGATGTGTTTTGGAATCTAAGTTTTCTCACCAGTAATGCCGTAATACATAGTCTATTTTGTGATACCTGTTAGTCAGACATATTTATGCTTCAATAGAAAAACCTGCAGGTTTTCATGCTAATTCAAGTTAATTTATACATTAATACTAAAAATAGCGTTACATCACACTGGGTTTGATTTTGCTGCCAAATGAGTTTTGGCTCTAAGCCCACAGAGCCTTATTTTCCTTGGAATGCAGGTGAGGAAGCAAGCCGCTTCCATGGCCATAAAGAAATAATTAGCATGTGAAAGGGAGCACGACTCTGCTACCCGACAGATATTAAATGAGATTATTTTTCCCCCTAAATAGAGGAACGGAGCTCAGAGGCAGCTCTCCCGGTGTATTAAAGCGTCAATCAGAATCCACATCTCCGTGCTTCAAAGCAGCACGCTTCTGAGCTTGACGGCTCTCGGAAACCCCTCAGGAGGCTTTCAGCCATTCCACTATCATGGTCACGCTCAAGACCTACAACCTGGGAATTCCGGGGGACATGGTTCTGACCCCAGTATGGCTTTGGGTTCTTTGGGTGATTCCAGGTTCGGGCCGACCTTATACAGGAGGCACTGAATTTGTGCAATTTGGGTTGGAATCAGGAAAAATAGACTTGGTTGGATCACTTAAAGGCGTAGAAAAAAGGACACGGAGCCTATATGTAGTGAGAGACGCCTGAGTTTCTTGCTTTTCAGTTCAGGCCTAAGCCTTTGAGTGTGAATGAGCAGTGGCACTAACTACCCTGTGCCCTATTTCTTCTAAATAAGATACGTTTGTTACAAAGATTTAAGAATCTGAAAAACACGTATTTCAGATGTTACCCAATTCCTTGCAAGACACTCGCAAAACCCTTCTCTCAGACCAGGATGTTTGCTTGGGTTTGTACTCTACAGTGGGCGTTTCGGCTTCACATCTTACTAAGGGTGCCTACCCTGTTCCCAGGACTAACGAACTAGGGTCTAGTTCACTGAGGTGGAACATGGGTCTGGATGCTCTGGAACGTGGGAAGAGATCAGAACGGACGAGCTAGGTAGATCAAACTGAGTGGTGGGAGCACACATCTTTATTCCTAGCACTTGGGAGGCAGAGGCAGGTGGATCTCCGTGAGCTCGAAGCCAGCCTGGTCTACAGAGCTAGTTCCAGGACAAGCAAGGATACACAAAGAAAACCCTGTCTCAAAAGTAAATAAATAAATAACTAGATAAATAGATAAATAAAATAGATCAAAGAGGTTAAAAGGGACTAAAGAAGAATAAATTTAGAGATAAGATTCTCTGCTCAGGTAACACAGCACCATTTTCCTACCAAGTAATGTAAGCTTGTTCTCTAGTCTCATGGCAGATTCAACCAGCAATTCTTCCCTGTTGTCAATGCTGGTTTCAGCTAGAAAGTGATCCCTCAGCCACTCTGCATACTCAGTGTCACTCATGACCTAAGAGAGAGAGGAAAAAAAAAAAAAAAAACAACACTCAGAGGCAGAGCATGGAACCTTACAATGTCCTACCAGGACTGACTCTGGGCAAAATCCATGCCCACAACATTGTTTCTAAATTTCACCCTCTGCACACAGTTGTGGTCTGATCCATACTCCCTTACCAATCACCTGGACACAAGATTCCCAAACTCTGCTCAGATGAATGTGACCCGGCTGATAGAGAGCCCGTTACAATTTAGTAGCTCTGGGAAATTTAAAGCATTATCCTTGGTGAAAGCGGGTCAGCCAATTAAACCAGAACATAAGAGGGTGGAATAGGCCTCCTGTTGGCAGTTAAATGTGGGAGAATTCTAATGGTGCAGCTAAAATAATGACCTCAAAGTTGTTCACCTGAGGCACGCCTCAGCCAACAGCCCTTCAGATGTCTTAGGAGTAGCTCTTAATGTGAAGTTTCAGAAAAGGTAATAAGAGAGCCACCCTATAGAAAAGGCAGGAAGGCCTTTATTCGAACAAACTTAAATGCAACTCCTGGAGAAGGAACCAAGGTCTTCCTATCTTTAGTTGCCATCAGGATGAATCTGTATTTTAGGTCTTAAAAGCAGGGTTGAGCGGTGAGGGCTAAGCAATTTTTCTCTTAGACGCTCATTTTTGCCTGCAAGGTAATGTGATTTGGGAAAACATGACAGCTATTGGAATACATTTAAGCGAGAAGGCAGTTGGTTCTACCTTCAATCCCTGCCTCTCCCTACAACTGTATCATAGAGGCATTTGATCCTTCATGTGGCTATTTGATGGGGTCTCTTGGAGGTCCACAACAGAAGTCCCAGCTTTTCCCAAATAATAACTAAGAACTAGAACATATGTAGTCAGTGAGACGTTTTGGAAGAAGCACTTCTTGGACTCGGCTTATTTCTGGCTATTTAACTTTTCATTAAGAAAGGACATACTATTCCTGAAGACTGTTTTCCACAAGGAGTAATCAAAACTGGAATAAAAACCTAGCAAGTGTACTTGGATTAAAAGAACATAAGAACATAAGCCAAACAAAACTACCAAAACTTTACAAAAGAAAAATGAAGGTTGCTCTCTGAACATTATTTATGTTTGTTTGTTTGTGTTTTTGTTTTTGCTTTTTTTTCCCAACTCTCATTTAATGCTAACAAACAGACAGTGTTAGATACAAGGTTCTCCGGGGAAGATAATAACATGTTGGTACTTTTACTTCTAGAGATACAACTGTTTACACAAAGGCCAGCTGTACTGAAATGTGTGAGAACTGTGAGAATATAACACTGAGGTAGCTGCCAAAATCCTTTGGGGACAGATCCTAACCCCGTCCTACACAGATTGGAGAGGTTAGTCTGGGGACTCTAGTCTGGGGGACTGCCTGGTATCTGCATTGGGAATAAGGTCTCATACGCACTCATTTTCAGGAATGAGGGTTAAACCAGGAGAAGAAGCAAGACTCGGGGTGAGCTCGGCGGTCTCACCTTCTTCGCTATACATAACGTCCGCAGCCCCTGCTTGGCATAATCATCCAGGTGGCTCTGCGTTTTCTCCCTTATTTTCAGCTGTTGTTTTTCCAGATTTGTTCCATCTGAAATCATGAACAGAAAATCATTATTCCTGCCAGCCTGCCAATTAGACTTTTCTTCCTTTGAAAAAAATGACAGTTTAATCCATAATAAACAAAAGGCATTTTTGCTTTGACTGTCAAATGTGTGTCTAGGAAAGGAACACAGATGCATAATTCACTTTGATCCTTTCCCCCTGGACAGAAAAAGCACAAAAGCTTTGATATAGATGCTTCCATGATGGGTCAAATCTTCCTGTCCTCTTGGGGCACTCCTCCCTTGCTAGAACCAGGTTCTTCCTGCATTTCACACAGAGTGACATTAAGCTTCTCTGGAACCCATAAAAAGGTATTATAGTGCCCATTTTCCCAAAGACCAAATAGGTGACTCTTCAAGGCACAGCTGACAATGGATTTCAGATGGAAACAAGCCAGGAGCTCTGCAGGTCCGAAGCCCCTCCTTCCCACCCAACAATAGGCAGCACTTTTCCTTTTCAAGTTTGACTTCATGAGCCCTGTCGATCACCACCATAGCAGCTGTGTAAACCTACCTGGGGAAGCCACTGACAGCAGCTCCATGATTACAGAGTCAGCGCCTTTTGTATACACCACGACTTGTTTGGAAAGAGGATGCCGGACCACGACCGACATTCTTTTCCTTACCGAGTCAAAGGGCAGGATGTGTAAGAGTTGAAATGTTAATGAGCCCAAAGCAGCAAAGTCCACCATGACCTGCTCTGGGGTCCGAGACTGTAAAGTGCAGTGGTAAGCCCTGGCAGCATACACCAAGGCTGCTTCATCTGGACTCTCGGCTTCATAACACAGGTTGGAAGCCAAGGGCAGGGGTCCATTTAGGGCTGAGGCTGAGGCTGAGGCTGAGGCGGTGGTGAGTCCTATATCACTGTTCTGTGCTTCAGTTTCTGTACAGCAAGCTGAGTTACTGGCCTGAGGGCTTTCACCCATCTGGGAAGATGCGTCTTCTATAGGAGGGGACAGTTTTGTTCGACTGAAGAAAGAGATTCTGCTCACAAAGGCACAGGGAGCCCCGGAAGTTGGCTCCTTCCCACTGGCAAGGGACGGTGAACTTGATCTCCGGACAGACAATTTCTGGAAGATGTTTTTAATCTCTTCCAAGGACTTGATGGGCATTCCACTCAGTGAGGAGAGCCCAATCTAGGAAAGACAAGAGAAGAAAGTCTCAATAACAGGTCCAAAATGGGTCCTCACGATTCTCAGGTCCAACGGGGGGATACAGACATATGAAAGAACCATCACTGTCTTAGCTGTCCATCTGCTTTCTCCATAGACATTCCATAGCAAATAGGAAGACAAACAAAAGCCAACAGGGGAATGGATGTGACATGTAATGACATTATACATTTCTGTACCTATTCAGAAAGATTTCGACAAATGAAAACAAAAGATAAAATATCCTAATATTGGGTTTCCTCCTTATAGAATTCTTTCTAAACTGGGGGGTGGTAGTGTCTGAGTTCAAGGCTAGCCTGGTCTACAGAGTGAGTTCCAGGGCAGCCAGCACTATACTGAGAAAGCCTGTCTCAAAAACACAAAATAAAATGAAGAAATTTACATGTATAAAATCTATAATCTTTATTGGCACAGCTTAACAATAACATTTACAGGCAAATTGAACCGAGCATGGTAATGCTTGCATATAATCTCTGCCCTTGAAAGGCAGAGGCAGGAGGGACTCAAATTCAAAGAAGGCTGGCTTAACATAACGACACCCTGTCTCAAGGAATCTATTATGAAACAATTAATCACCATTAAAATAAAGATGCAAATTAATTAAATATTCAATATCAAAACAAAAACATCTTCTTGAAATATATTTTAAATGAAGGTTATAGAGAATGGACATATTATTAGAAAAGCCCAACACTTGCAGAGTATTACCAGAAAAGCATAGAAAACAGTAAGAGAGAAATAGAAGAACAAATAAGACCACACACAACACTAAGACCACTGGAGGAAATTAACCAAAAGGCTAGCATTTTTCTTTTTTCTTTTTAGAGTCTGTAAAAGGCTGTTATCTTGACAGTTATAACAAAACAGGCCAGTACACGAAAGTCAGTTAAGAGGAACTTCTCTGCATCATCACATGCTTTAAATTGTTTACTAGTTTGTTCTTATTTGTACCTTGTCTTCTTTTACACTTTTAATATCAGTGATTAAGCTTACAATTCCATGCCTAATCACGAAAGATCACCCAACCATTTCTAAAATTTGTTCATTCAGAACTATGTGAAGAATGTAAACATTTTTCTTCACAAACTGACTTTATGATCACTGAAGGGCTCTTGCTGGTCAATCTTTGTCATTATCAGCAACTCAGATGTAAGGCAAAGTGTGCGCCTTGACAGGATGAAGTCTGTATCTTGCAGTATGCTCCCTTTCTCTCACTACCCTAAGAATCTGGGAGAAGCAGGGACCTTTTATGACTCCAAAGATTTTATTCTAAGCCGTAGAGAATTAGGTCCTCTAAAAATAAATCAACAATACTTTATAAAAAGAAAGCACCAAAAAAAAAAAAAAAAAAAAAAACCAAACAACAACTTTGAAAACAGGTATAAAATATGGTGTAGTACACTATTTTTTTTACTCCCATCATTTATTCTCCAATTGCATAACCACTTCTTCTAGAGCATCTTTTTAGGCAGAACCTTGTAAAATACAGTAGCTGATCAGGTGTGGCTTAATTGGAAGTGAATTACTTTTATGTTAAAGTTCCCACCTCTGCAGTTGCCAAAAGAAAATGATCAGTTGGAAAATGAAAATTTAATTGGGTTTTGCTGTAAATTGAATTTTAAGTGGATGTGTGGGAAAGGCAAGATACACCAGGAGCCTAGCATACTATGACAGATGACCAGGCTCTACTGAAGTGGAAATGAATTTTCCATGAGCTCTACAGTACAGTTAGAGTAAGGAACTGCTGAATCCTGGCACATCATACTCATATTGGATTATAGATACTGAGCTAAAAGAAACCTCGCTGGTGCATGGAGGAAGCTTGTCAGAGTCATGAGCATTAGGCTAATGCTCCGGATTGTATTTGATGCTGTGTTTATCATGTTGGAGGTCTCGGAGGTCTCTCTCAGAGGTCTCACGGACAGCTTTGATTTAGTAGGGCAATGACTGCAAAGCAGAAGCTCTCGTCAGCAATACTCCCCTAGGCAAATAATAGAGCAAGGCCAGAGTCCTACATCCTAAGGCCAACCTCCACCCTCAGCCCCACCCCACACACTGGTTTGGCAACCCTGGTGAAATCCTTCCGAGGCATCTTTAAAACATAGAATAGAATAGAATAGAATAGAATAGAATAGAATAGAATAGAATAGAATAGAATAGAATAGAATAGAATAGAATAGAATAGAATAGTAGAACAAGTCAGGAGTCTCTCACAGAGGGCCTCTGAAAGGCTCTGCCCTGCAGACTATCAAAGCAGATGCTGAGACTTATGGCCAACCTTTGGGCAGATTGCAGGGAATCTTATGAAAGAAGTGGGTAATAGTAAGATCTGGAGAGGACAGGAGCTCCACAAGGAGAGCAACAGAACCAGAAAATCTGAGCATAGGGGTCTTCCCTGAGACTGATACTCCAACCAAGTAGCATGCATGGAGATAACCTAGAACCCCTGCACAGATGTAGCCCATAGCAGTTCAGTCTCCTAGTGGGTTCCATAGTAATGGGAACAGGGACTGTCTCTGACATGAGCTGACTGGCCTGCTCTTGGATCACCTCCCCCTGAGGGGGGAGCAGCCTTACCAGGCCACAGAGGATGACAATGCAGCCATTCCTGATGAGACCTAACAGACTAGGATCAGAAGGAAGGAAAAGAAGGCCTCCCCTACCAGTGGACTTGGGGAGGGGCATTCGTGGAGAAGAATGAGGAAGTAAGAGATTGGGAAGGGAGGAAGGAAGGGAACTAGAGGGGGGGATACAAAGTAAATAAAGTGTAATTAATAAAAAAATTAAAAAAAAAAAAAAACGCAGACTAGAGCAAGAGTGCCCAGCTCTCTCGGGGCTGCGAGAGGACTAAACACATTAGTAGCAGCAAATCTCTTAGAGCATGGCAAGGGCAGAGAGGCAATGGCTGCTGTTCTTATTCGTTATCATCACACAGCAAAGCCAATACAGATACATGCATGCATGTAAACTCCATGTTGGAATGACATTTTACCTTTTGCCGAGGCTGGTTTGGAGCCGAAACCACCACCGTGTTGCAAATTGCCAGTGCGATGAAGAAGTCGATGATGTACAAAGTCTCCAGCGGGGGGCTCTGCGCAGTGCCATCCAGTGGCGTGAAGAGCTGACAGCTGATCTGGCTAAATTTGTCCAGGAGTCTGGTATCTGGTACCACATCCGTCTCCTGAAGAGACAATATGACAGGGTCTTGCTATTAACGTAAGTGACGCGGACGACAGCTATCTAAGTGAAGCATGAGTTGGTAAACTAAATTCTAATTTTCCTCCAGTCATTCACTTGCGTGTGTGTGAACGTGTGTGCCTGCTCACGCATGGACTACAGCACACATGGAGAGCAGAAAACAACACAAGGACATGAGTTGTCTCCTTCTGCCATGTGGGTTTTTAGGCCTGGCAGCAAGTGCCTTAACCCACTGAGCCATCTCACCAGCCCAGTAAATTTAATTTTAGAAAGTTTAATGCATACGATATCTTGGGGAACAAAACAATAAAATGAGACGTAGACGTAAAATGAAAATTCGTATTATATGTTATTAATGGCGAACATCATGACTGTTCAGTTAAATAGAAGATAGAAACACTACCTTCTATGAAAATCTAACTGAAAGAGTATTTCTCATTACGAAACACATAGTGCCAGGCATGTGTTTTATTGTGCTCAAAATTCTATCATGGCTTATTTTACTCAACAACTGATGAACACCACTTATTTCAAAGTTGGGGTTTAATTCCTATCAGAGTACTTAACAAAACGTTTTTGCTCAGTTCATGAATATTATAAAAACAACTTACTACGAGAAAAAATATTCTAAGCAGGCTAGGAGACTGACTGACATCCACAGTCGGGGTGCTTACAACAGTTTTCTCACCACGAAACGTGTTTGGCAACTGCCCTCCTCATAAGGATTCCTGGTAAGGATTTTCTCCTGGAAGTTCCGTCACTAGAGTGGGGTGTGGGAGCCCCATTTCATCTCGTACAGTGCCTCCCAAGCTCATTTGAAAGTACTAGTTTTAACAAGGGTGTCATAGCCCAGAAATCTGATTTTCACACTGTAGCTTCAGTCTGCTCTAGAGCGTACTCCTTAGAATCATGGTCCTAGAGAGGTGCCATTGTGTGACGGGGAGTCTTGGATGCTGACAAGCAAAGCACACTGACTGCAGGGAAGCCTGGAGAGGTGCATCAGGGACACGTGACCTTATAATCACATGACCACGTCACGGCTAACCTTCACTGTCAGCTTGGCTGGCTTTACAATTACTTAAGGAAAAAAAAACCTGTGGGTGTGTCTGTGAGGGTGTTTCCAAAGAGGAAACACCAATTATAAATGCGGGTGGCACCATTCCATTAGACTTGTTCCTAGACAGAACAAAGGAGGAGGAGGACACCAGCTGAGCATCGGCGGTGATTCCTGACTTGGTGCAACGTGACCCGCTGCCTCAGGCTTCCCAGGCTGCACGCTCCTTGCCATGATGGTCTGGATCCTCTCAGACTTAAGTTGCTGTTGTCTGGAATTCTTTTAAAAAAGCAAGGAGAAAACTGAGGCACCATGGTTTGTATTTCTACCCTGGCATTTGTAAGAGTGATCACAGGTTTAATGAGAGAAGAACAACGCTGGCAATTACACGCTCGAGGCTCCTGTCTGGGCTCCACTCCACTGACAACCAGCCTCCGGACGGTGGCTTTGCCTACCTGTCTTTCTTCTATCCTTCCTTTCAAATGACACACACTCACCTTTCAGGTTGCCTTCACACACTATCAGCTGTCACAGAGTATTCTTAAAATTCTATCTAGATTCAGCACGTGGACGACTACAAAGCTGAAATCCTGTTCTGTGATCATGACAGTGAAAGCAATAAGAAAGCTACTAAAAGTCCTGCATGTGCATTCACGGGCATGAAAGCGATACTCTCCCATCAGCAAAACTCTGCAGAGAAGAACTGTCAAATTGAAGCTGTGTCTATCTAGATAGTTGGCACCGCAGAAGACACTGAAATCACCATAAGAGAATATAAATAAAAGAAGAGCCCACAGGAAGATGTAAGAAGGCATCCACATTAAAATGAAGCTCCAGGTGCAGGGTACTCTGACGATTTTGATAAAATAACTTAACCCCCTTATGACTAAGATAGTTCTTGAGTTGAGGAGAGAGTGCAAAATTGTCATGTGCAATTTTTTATCCAAAGGACTTTATCCGTAATTATTTCCAGAGCCATCTTCTCTGCGGCTTTATTATACATTCATTCTAGACAACTGTTGCCATCTTATATGAAACCATGCCTGTTTGTTTGAAATAGCTCTGTTTCAAACAGTGCCTTCCCCAGAATTTAGGTCTTTTTAAAGCACAGAGCACATGCTATTGATCTTTAAATCCCTAACCCAGGACCTGGCACTCGATAAATAACCCAAGTTAATTGTACACTACTAAAAAAAAAATCTTGCTGGCCTTATAATCTATACAGGAAGGGTAGAGTAACAAATAAGCTAGAGTCATTACCTGTGTAAAATAAACACATGCTCCCGCTGGGTCTCACCCAGGCATCTGGTCAAGATTCAGAGTACATTTCCACTCATAATTAGATCACAGAACACACAGCACGACACAGACAAACCAGTTCTCAATCTTCCTAATGCTATAACCCTTCAATACAGTTCCTCATGTTGCCATGACCCTCACTTAAAATTACTTTTGCTGCTACTTCACAACTGTAATTTTGCTACTGTTATGAACAGGTGTAAATATCTGGTAGGTGACCCCTGCAAAAGGGCCATTCAATAGCTCCCAAAGAGGCCACAACCCACTGGTTGTGAACCATTGTTCTACAGTGCCAGCAAAGCCTTGCTGGTTTCCTAAAGGAAGTCACAGCCTTGCTGTCACCTTGTGTGACAACTCCTGACCATTTCCAGGTTTATGTCCATCCTCAGGACTCAAACTTCTACCTGACTGAAGGAATTCTCCCTCAAACTTTTTGTTGTTGTTGTTATGTTTTTTTCTCCGCTATTTAGCTCCCAATTGAATATGCAAACTCTGGCGAGGCTCCCTTCGGCTCTCCTCCATGTCTGCAGAAGCTTTTGCAAGGCTTCAACCTAATTTAAATATCATCTATTTTAAGATTGAGAGTAACGGGCTTCTTCAATGGTTTCTACAGACCTCTAATCGCCCATGGTTCAGTAATGGAAAAAGACACTCTATCAAGGTGACGGAGCCAACCAAGCAGTGGTAAAGCTGGTCCCCCATCCTTGTCGGCTAAGCTTTTATTTCATTCCCTGCTGCCACTGCAGTTCTAGGGGCTGTCTCTCTACTTACGTTACTTTGGGTTTTGTGGGACAAAAGCCTTCCCTTGTATTTCCCCAAGGAAAGATACAAAGGCCACACAGATGACTTTTCCTCTATATCAACTTGTTGATCCAGAAGTTCTGAGGATTTTCTGTGCTCTGTGTGGTCCTTCCTGCTTCCCTCCCATGGGGGCTATCTTTCTAGTACCTAAAATCTGGGTACTCGACACTTTTAACCCAGGCTTCCTAAGTGGGCTTTTAGAACCAAATGCAGAATAAATTTTACAGTGACTTTTCCGGTCACAGATTATATACCTTTCTGAAAATATTAAGCTCAGCTTGTAGGACTCAAGAGTTAGACTCATGTTTCATGAAAGAACACAGCCACTTTATGCAATACATAGCAATATGTTTTTGCAAGACTCAGAACAAAAACCACCGCAGAACTTCCGAATAACTAAGAAGACTCATGACAGTGGAGCACAGGCCAAGTGGGTGTGGTGATCAGATTCACTCAATAACCTTCTGAAATACTGTTTTGAGATTGACTGTGGCGGGCACTGTGCTACGTGCTGGAATTCAGAGGCTTAAAAAGTCCATGCTCTCAAGGTGCTAATGGTACATTGTCAGGTACAGAAATAAGGCCAATGTCATGCAGGCAAAGAGACAATGGGAACACACACGGAAAACCAGGAGGTTGACATCAAAGAATTGGCACAGGTATTGGTGGCCCCGCTCAACGCTTCATCAGATTGGGTAGAGAGGAGAGAATGTATCTCAGAAAGGGGAGATGGCACAGGCAAAGTCACAGAAGCTTCCAGAAGTACCTATTTGTTCCCACAGGAGAGTGAAGCCTGTTCAGGAAGCTACGGAGGGCCAAGTAGCCCCCACCCCTCGATGCCAGAATTACTCAACGCTATCACCAACCAGACATGAATTAACACACATTTCCTCTCAACTGTGCAGAAAATGTCCAGGCTGAGCAGATGACTAAGTCAAGACAGTATCATAGAGAAAAAGAGTATATACATACACATATATTTCTTGCTCGCATAAGCTTAAAATGACTAAAAAAAAGAGGGGAGGCTGTGCATACTACTTGCTAACTGCCTTTCAAAATTTGTAGAGGGAAAAAAATTAAGTCTAGGTGTTTCGGAACAGATTTCAGGAAGTTGTACTGTCAGGGGTGTTATATCCTTATTGCCACAGGAACTGAGCTGGCGGTGGCCACACCATTACTGCAGCTGCACATTTCACGGCAAGTTTATAAAGAGCCTAGAGATGCCCTGAAGGCCTTCTCAAGTCAAGTGAGCTACCTGAGGCCTACATATGTAATGTATAATGAAAATGGAGCAAAGACCGTATGTTGCAACCCATGCGTTCCCCATAGCTGCTTTATTTATTACTATAATTTTTATTTTTATTTATTTATTTATTTTTGGTATTTTAAAACCATTTATCTCTCCCAACTGGAAGTTGGGCATCAGGACGGGTGGAAGAACACAGAACATTGCATAGAGCAAGGCTCCAAGAACAGCAGTACAGGCAAGTCAGGCCAACACTCTAGGGAAGGTAGAGCCGTTCCAGCCCACATTGGCTGCGTTCATGTCGTAAGAGTGGATGCAGATCTGGTCCGGGTGGACGTGCAGGCCTCACAGCAGCTTGCTGTAGGTGTGGTTCTGGGCGCTGCCAATCTGACCTTGTGGATACTGTGCAGGCTGCAGAGGGCACAGGGGCCGCAAAAGCAATGAGCTGGTCCGGGACCACGTGCACTGATGTACTGTGCTGGCTTGCCGGTGGCCAGGGCCAGCTGCTGTGTGAGCCCGGACAGAAGCCCCTCTGGCACGGAGGAGCGGGGAACATCGGTGTGCTCTGTTCTTGTTATGTTGTCCGCCTGAGCTGTTACTGACCTTGTGATGGGAAATCTCCATTTTGGTTAAATATTGGTGTTAATGAAATAGGAAAGGCTGAGAAGGCAGAGAACATTTTAGAGAGGTAATTTTAAATTTGGTGAAAGCGTTAATTTCTAATTCTCTTACGCAATCATCTTTTCATGGTCTACCTGATCTTCTATTTCTTCTGCAGTAAAATGGGTTTGTTAATAGAGATGACTGTCACTTCCTCAGAGCCGCTACGGGGACACAAGCCACCTGTGGAACTCTGGAATGAAAACACTTTAAAGTGCCCTTTGTAAATTAGGGATGAGGAAGGAGGTCCCAGTTTGGGTGGAATGCAGAGGAAGATTACAAAGTGATAAATGCAGAGCAAAAGACCTATGTTAATTAGACAAACATTCCTGCCAGATAATTCTGGGTAAGTCCCCGTGCTTCTTAGAGTCCGTCATTATCTTCATATCCACATAGCCTTTTTAAGCTCTGACATGATCAGTCCTGACCAGAAATACGTTATGTTTCAAAAATGCTACCCGACTTCCAACGTTGAATTATGTATCGCATCTCAAATTTGTATTATTTTCTAAAAGGTATGTGTCACCACCATGCTGAACTGTAACAATGCTACCGGAGAAGAGCAGTGTAGTTTGGGCTATTATAATGGTGGTTGTTCTGTCCAGAGCATGGGGATGTCTTCACACTTACCATGGGGCTACTGAATGCAGCCTGTCTGGAATGAGGCACTTCGCCGGGTCCTTCTTCATTTCCTACGGCAGGTTTGCTCCCAGAGAGATGAGCTGAGGGCTTTCCCGAAGGCCCACTGTGAACTGTCCTGCAGCCGTGGGCTCTGGGTTTTGCCATGTTGCTGAGGGAGCCGCTCAGAGCATCTGTGCATTCCTCCTCTTCACAGACAGCTTCCTGATAGGACTCAAGCCGCTTGGCTGCGGGATAAAATTCACACCAGGTCACCATCTGAGAAGACCTTGCAAGCTGAATATAGAAGGTAGCTCCAGAGCTATTTACACCATCTCCTTTCTGTCCTGGCCTCCAAATTCCCCCCATGAGAATCCATCATCAGTAAACTTACTCTATCCTTACTGAGGAAAGAAGACACAATGGATTAGGAAGACCCTTCCTTTTCCGTCTCTGGGTCTAGCCTTGTCTGCACCTCTATCCACACACTATCTACCACCCTACTGTGATGCAGAACTCAGCCTTCCTCGTTTTAAATTTGAAGGCCTCCACTTGTGGTTTGGATCCTGCCCTCTGGGTCCTCAAACCCTTCCTCTTCACATTTGAATTTCAGTACACCAGTCTCTCCTTAACAAATTTTACGACTTTCTGGCCTAACTCTCCAGTGATCTCTGGAGGTCACCTATAAGCGCCATCTTGCCAAGCCCAGTGATCTCACAGCTATCTACCTATATCTATATATTTTTGTAGACAAAGATACAGATAGATATAGATGTATAGATATATAGAGATAGGTAGATAGATAGATAGATAGATAGATAGATAGATAGATAGATAGATAG